AATGAAGACCAACGGTACAGAACAGAAGACACAGAGACAAACCCACATAAATACAGTTATCTCATACTAGGCAAAGGCACCATAAACATACACTGGAGAAAAGATAGCCTCTTCAACAAATTGTGATGGGGAAACTGGAATTCCATATATAATAAAATGAAATTAGACTCCTATCTCTCACCTTGCGCAACACTCAACTCAAGGTGGATCAAGCACCTAGGCATTAGATCAGAGACCCTGTACCTACTAAAGAAAAAGTAGGCCCAAATCTCCATCCTGTCGGCAATAAGATTCCTAAAGCGCAAAAAGTAAAATCAAGAATCAATAAATGGGATGTATCAAAGTAAAAAGCTTCTTCACAGCAAAGGAAGCAACAAAATGTGAAGAGAGAGCCTACAGAATGGGAGAAAATCTTTACCAACTGCACCTCGGAGAAAGCACTAATCTCCAGTATATATAAAGAACTTAAACACACACACACACACACAAAAAAAAAAAAAAAAACACACACCTCTAAAAAAACCCGAATAGCCCAATCAATAAATGGGCAAAGGAACTGAACAGGCACTTCCAGAAGAAAAAAAAAAAACTATATGAAAAAAAATGTTCTAGCAATTAGAGAATGGCAATTATCTACATACTATAGTGATGCATTCACATCAATGTTCATAGCAGCTAAATTCACAATAGCTAAGCTATGGAACCAATCTCAACAGATGAATGGTTAAAGAAAATGTGGTATATATACAATGGAATATTACTCAGCCATAAAGAAGAATGAAATTATGGCATTTGCAGGTAAATGGATGGAACTGGAGATTATCATGCTAAGTAAAATGTCAATACTAAAAAACCAAAGGCCGTATGTTGTCTCTGATGTGTGGATGCTAACAGAAAATAAGGGGGGCAGTGAGGGACACTGCAGGGAATAGAAATTCATTGGACTAGACAAAGAGAAATGAAGGTGGGATGGGAATAGGAAAGATAGGAAAATAAATCAGACATAACTTTCCTATGTTCATATATGAATACACACCCCGTGTAACTCCATAACATGTACAACCACAAGAAAAGGAAGTTATACTCCACATATGTATAATACATCAAAATACATTCTACTGTTATGTATAACTAAAAAGAATTTTAAAACATTTTTAAAAATTCTTGCCAAATGCAATGTCTCATGCCTGTAATTCCAGCAATTTAGGAGGCTGAGGCAGGAGGACTACAAATTTGTAGCAAGCCTTAGCAACTCAGGGAGAACCTGTCTCTAAATAAAAATATAAAAATGGGCTGGAGGGGTGTGGCTCAGTGATCGAGCAGTCCTGGGTTCGATCCCCAGTATTCCCCCCAACTAAAAAACAAAATCCTTTACATCAGACTTCCCCTGGTTAAATTGTGTGATTTCTGTCCCATGACTGGACCCTGATGGATATACCCAGCCCCTGCATTAATGCCACATTTACCTATTATTCTTAAAGAGATATAAATCTCTTTTAATTTAAATTTTCCTAAAATTCACCACTTCCAACTGGCCATTCATCATCAAACTGATAAAACACTACTTTGCATTTGACAGAAGTCAGCACAGATCATGATCAGTTCTTCACCTGAGACTAGCAAACTCTAATGAAAAACTCACTTGCATGTTTTTGGCATTTTAATGTTACAAAGAGAAGCTCAGTTTTTCTTTTGTTGAGCTTTTAAAAGCTAGAGACTCACTGTCTTTATTTTCCATGGGTAGTTCATAAATTTCAGAAGAATAATATATAAACAGGAATTTTGGTACCAGAAAAAAAAATGTATTTGAACCTGAAGGGAAAGAAAAACAGCAGGGAGGAAGCAGAAAGAAAAACAATGTACCAATAAGGGAACCTGCCCATTGAAGAATTTTGGTGCTGTTAAAGAGACTTTTATTAAAAAGTCAAAATTATTTCAGTTAATTCTGGCTAGATTGACTAAATTATGGCTCACTCTATTCATATCCTCAGGCCTTTTCAGGGCCCTGAGGAGGGTGATGTAGGGTGTGCTGGTCTGCAGCCTTCCTTGAATTTTAAACATTCTACTTATAAACGACCTGTTTATATAAAGCACCACTGAACTATAAAGTGCTGCGGTTGTTTGGGAAATAAGTGAGCAGGGAGGCTTTTGAATAGGACAGGGTTCAGAAGTTGAAGATTAGAGGATATGACACAAGGAAGTTATTCTTGAGAGTGACCAAGGAGATCTGCCTGTGCCTTTCCCCTGCCCTCCACCCCAGCATGAACAGTCTGCTCCCAGCTCTTGGATTTCACCATCCTTTTCTCACTGTCTGCAGTTTTACCAATTAGGTATTTGTGTGTATTCCTTTCAGTGATGTCATCTTCTGCCTGTGGGAGGCTCCTCTGGGGCGGGACGACATTTGAGCCTCTGCAGCCCTCCTCTTCCTCAAAACTCCCAGTGAGATCTTGAGAACTGAGAGGGGACCCTGTCCCCTGGCAGATTTCAGTGTTCATTCACCTACTGACACTTGACTTGGAGAGGAGGCAGGGACTTTAGGGACTTTAGGCTCAGGGAAATCGAGGAGGCCTGGTGGAGAAGCCAGGGAGTGAGGTTGACTTATTCCCACAATTTACTAAGACAAGAGGTGGCACCTAGGGATGGCAAATCTATTAATAAACCAGAACAGCACAAGCTGGAAACAGCCTGGAGGGGTCCCTAACAAAAACACTCATCAGCTCTCCTGATCTAGGATGGGATGAAACACTCCATCTAAATTTCTTTCTTTCTTTTTTTTTTTTTTGAGATTAGAGTCTGGTTATGTTGCCCAGACTGGTCTGGAAATTCCATTCTTCTCCCTCAGTCTCCCAAGTAGCTTGGATTATGCATGTATGCCACTGAGTCTGGCTAATTTTTAATTTTTACGTCTGCTTTGCCTTATCCCAAGAAATATTTGTGGCAGCTCTGCCACAAATAAGGAAACCATGGTAGAAATAAGCAAGAGTAGAACAACAAGCTACAGGCTTGTCATGAGGTGATGTTGAGAGCCACAGCCCAGTTGGAATGGCCCCTGGCATTTTGCCAGAAGTAATGGTTGAGAGGCGAACCATTAAGATGATGCTGGATTGATTTAATTGTATATAGACCCCTGCTGTCTGCCTCAGGTGCCTGCTACTTTGGAGTTCTCATGGGGGGGGGGTGGTTTCCTGGGGAGTTCACATTGGTTGGTGAAGTTCCGGTGGAGGGAGTTCCGGTTGTGGTGTGGTGTCCCTGGAAGGGCCGAGTGGGTGGCGTTTGGGGGAGTTCAGAAATAAAGTTTGTTCCTGCTTGAGTGGCTCGTGATTTGTGCCCAGCCAGACTGCAGCAAGGTGATGCACTTGGAGTGGTCAAACCTCTGGCTTAAGACCTCCCACTTGTCAAGGCAAGGTGTGAAGCCTACAGGAAACAGGTACCTATTTGGCCTTTTGGAAATGTATACAGGTCCTTCACTTACAAGAGTGACCAAGGTGGAATTGCACAAATGTTTCTGGGCAGGAGGGATCCCCCCAAAATTATGCCCAATGAACTGTTCCACACAAAATGCTCTTCTCAAGATCCATTAACTATGAAATGAAGCCAATTGCTCCAGATAAGCCCAGTGGATTCTGATTCTAAGGCCAAGAAGAATCCCCTACTGGACCCCTCTCTGGGATCATGTACTGAGGGTCATTGCCAAGTAGGAATGACGCATCGAAATTTCCTTGCCAGCGTACCCCATGTTAAATGGACTTGCCTTGGAAATTTGCTGTGACATTGCATGTGTGTTTGAGAAAGGTGACCCTGCTCAAGGAACAGGGTGGATCCAGGTTTAGGGTGTATCCTGCAGGTTTTAGGAAGTATCCCGCTCCTTGGGTTTAAGGAGTTCCCAGTTTAAGACAATTCCGGTTTAAGGCAGTTCCAGGTTTAAGGTTATTGCTTCTGGGAATAATATTGCTGCCTGAGTTCCCCTTGGGTTCTCGTGGAATTGAGAAAGTATTTGGCACGTGAATTTGGCGGGCAGAACTGGGATTTCCCCAGAACGTGTTTGTAGAGGGCCGCTGTGAGTTCGGGAATAAAGAATTGCTGTTTGAATCTACTAAGTGTGAGTGGCTGGTGATCTTGTGCCCAGCCAGACTGCGGCAATCATGGAGAAGTCTGTGGTGACAGAGAAAGAAAATCCCCAATATCATCCTCCCTGTACATGCAGGAACTCATTTCCTTGGACCACTTCTGAAAGCATCCTTCAGGGTAGGCCAATGGCCAGACCCCCAAGGCATGCCGCAGATGAGCAATCCAGGACAGGACAGGGTTAGGAGGAGGAGGGGCCTTACAGAGCATGTTTTCCTGCTAGACACCTCCTGATCTCCAAGGATTCATATCACTTTAATTTCACCTAGTGTTAGCACTGTGTGTTCCCTGTATAGACCTGGAGCGGGGCATGGACAGAAAGTTAAGAACCCCCTGGTGGAATTTGCTTTTCTTGGCCAATAGGCTTTATTGTGAGTGCATGGTCAAAACTACTTCCCTTCCAACTCTTCACCCCACAACCCTGCTGCACAGTGGCTGGTATACACCTGAGACAAAGCTCAACTGTGGAAGACGTGGTGCTGATCTTAGAAACTCCCCTGGAGAGAAAATGTTCCTGAGCTACATGCTGGGAACGGGCCATGGCTTCTGCTACACTGCCATTTGATGAATCAGCACCATGGCTCAGTAAATGTTCCCTGTAACTTTACAGGGTCTCTAAACAACATTGTGAGAAACTCATAAGTGTCCAATGGAAATTAGAGGTAGGAAAAGTAAGTCCTGCTCCCCAAATTCGCAGGCCGATCATGGGATCAAGCAGGAAGGAGTTCTCTCAGACTCTCAGTTTCATCTATATGAAAATAAGCCTGGCCTGACAGAAGAGAAAATGCAGATGCCCTGACCCCACCAGAGGGGCCACATGGGAGAAACTGTGTGACCCAGATGCCTGTGATGTCCTGGAAACATGAGTCACTTACAAGCTCTGAGAAGCCACGGACCACTTGCCGTCGCTTCAGGTTGGTCTCTCCATCCAGGTTGGCAGTCTCGATGTGGCACAGCCCATCGGGGTCACTGGAGGACAGCAGCAGAATGTCTGCAGGGATGATCTCATTGCAGCGAAGACGCACGAAGTCTCCCACACGGATTTCTTTCCAGAATCGGTTCACATACTTCTTTTCTTCCCTGATAAAAAGACTTTAGTTAATAAGACTAGTAAGAGGTTGATGACAACTAAACTGTGACGAATATCTGGAGGCCAACTATCAAATTTTATTTCTGCACAAGTTGGCAATTTCTATAATAAAAACTTTTAAAAAGAATATTCATAAATCCACATATGGTACAACTCCATTTATATGAAATGTTCCAACAGGCAAAGCTATAGAGACAGAAAGTGGGTTAGTGGCTGCTATGGTTGAGAAGGGAAGTGAAGATGACTGCTTAATGAGTCAGGGTTTTCTTCAGGGGTGAGGAAAAGATTCTGGAACTAGAGAGTGGTTATGAGTTGCCCAATATTGTGAATGTGCTAAATACCATCGAACTGCTCACTTTACAATGGTTATAGTGACCACACTGACACATATACCCAAAAGAACTAAAAACAAGGACTAAAACTGGAACCTTGCAAGCCAATGCTCATTGCTATGAAACTAGAATTTCTCCATTCTACTGTTGGGAGGGGTCTGAGCCTATTTTAATGTTAGCAGCTAAAAAAGGCAGGGGGTGCTGGCCAGCATCACTGAGGGTTAGTCAGCAAAAGTGGATTCTGCTCCACTACCATCAGGTGGTGTGTTGTAGCTCTTTAAGGCAAACTATGCCCTCCAGTTTTGCAGCAGAACCCCAGAAACTCACCACCATTTTCTTCTTTTTGGGTCATTGGGTCATAAATTCAACAAATGAAATCCACAGATGAGAAGAGTGACTACAAAAGAATAGAATTTATTCATGTGGGAAGAGACAGAGCTCTCGAAAGATGAGGTGGGACCCACGGTGAGAGAGGACCAGAAGGAGCTACCAACTCAAAGTGTGCTAGGCTAGGGCTTTATATAGCACTTGGGTCAATGCTATTGGTCCACATTTATGCTAATCAGGCTTTGAAAATGTACTAACATTGTTGGTTAATCTTTGAGTGAATTTCCATTCAGGTCTGCCCCACTTCCGTTTACTTGCCATTCTGCCTGCAATTCCAGCTTCCCAAGAGGTTGACGTTGGCAGACTGTGATGCTCAGGAGTCGCAGGTTGCGTCATTATGTGAAATGGATGTCTGGCTGGGCCAGATGACAAGTCAGCATGCCCTGGTTTGTGTTGGCCCTGGCTTGCGTTGGCCCTGGCTCACTGGGCCCCAGCTGCATGCTAGCAAGAGAGATCCTAACACCCAGGGCCAGTGGGTGCTGCCCATACTCCAGCCACCTGGGCCACATCTTCACCACTGCACTACTGCTTCTTGGAAGAGATCTGTGGGCTGTGTGGCTCAGTGGCTGGGGAGCCATGTCGGCACCATTATACAGCCAAAATGTAGACTCCACCCCTGTCCTTCAACAGATGAATGGGTAAACAAATGTGGCATAGCCATACAATAGGATATTTACAGTCATAAAAAGGAATGCTATTGCCAGGCACGGTGGCACACACCTGTAATATCAGCAGCTCCGGAGGCTGAAGCAGGAGGATAACAAGTTCAAAGTCAGCTTCAGCAAAAGCAAGGTGCTAATCAACTCACTGAGACCTGTCTCTAAATAAAATCCAAAATAGGGCTGAGGATGTGACTCAGTGGTTGAGTGTCTCTCATCCAATCCCTGGTACCACCCCCCCACCCCGCCAAAAAAAAAGTAAGGCTATTATAATATAAACTCTATAATCAGAGTTTATAATATAAACTCTGATGATTTTGTGCTATGTGAAAATAAGCCATTTCACAAAAGGACCAATGTGTACTTCTACTTACATCAGTACCCAGAGTAGGCAAATTAGCAGAGAGAGAAAATAGATTACAAGTTACCAAGGGTTGGGGGTGTGGAAAGCAGGCTCCGAGCTACTCCATGATGTACAGAACAATAGTTTTCAGGCTGTGTTTAGCCCTGAGTTACTCCATTTGTAAATCAGTAGTTTTCCATGAGTTACTCCTTCTGCATGCAAGTGTCAAGGTGGAATGGCTCTACGTCTTGTGCAAGGGAATAACCACCATCTCTCCAGAACAACTATAAGGCACAAGTTGATAAACAACTTATTCATGCCAATTTATCAAGCTAAATCAGGAGCACCTGGACACATGGACATCCTAAAATATACCAGAAACCTTATACACAGGAGATCATCAATCCCACCAGACATAACCCCCTCACCTAAGACTCAAAAGGAGGAGTTCCCCAAGACTGAATATGGTGGCACCCTGACCCTGTCACCTGGTCAGCAGTCATGAACCTTGAAAGGCGAGTGACTCACCTGAGACAGAGATGCGACCAAGAGATTTTACTAGGAGGCTGCCCAAAGGGGAAGAAAAGAAGAGGCAGAGAGCAGAGAGAGGAGAGGAGGAGGCCAGAGAGAAAGAGAAAGAGAGTAGAGAGAGAGGAGAGAAAGAAGAGGAAGAGAGCAGAGAGAAAGAGTGAAGAGGGCAGAGAGTATGAGCTTGCAAGCCTGGGCTTAAGACGGGTTGTGTAGGTGACGTGGCGGGTGCTGACGGGGAGGGTGACTCAGGAATGGTGAGTGGAAGCTGTGTCCAGCGGAAAATGGTCGAGAAAAACTTTGAATTTGGCACCCTTCTGCTTGGTGCCCTTTGGAGAGGAAGTGGGTAAGGATTATGTGATGTTCTTGATAGATGGAAACTTAACTTAAGCGGGGAGTCTCCCACACACCCAAAAAACTTGCCCAGGAAAATTGCAACCCTCCCATTCTTTGTCCTGGACTCCAGCTTAGCTGTTTTCTCTTCCTCCTGAGAATGACGCAGAGCCCCCTTCAAGCTGGCACCTCAAGCTGACACTCTGAAACTGCCACCCATTTGAAACATTGCCTTGACAACTATGCAGAACTGGTTTGTTAAAACTCTCATCTTCACATTGGTATCTGCTCTCTGCCTTTGCTTTTGACACAGCATCTATAACCCTGCGACTGCCTTAAGCCTTTCTTGGTCTTTCTGTTGCCTACAAATACATCACTGTGTGGAGTATGATGTGTGACTTGATTGTTACAGGTATTAGAAATTAAGATTGGAATGGAATAAAAGAACTTGTGATTGAATAACCCATGACTACCAGGTGGCTCATGAGTATTCAGTAAACTGCAATCAATGAAAGTGACATAACCCCTGGGCTGGGGATGTGGCTCAAGCGGTAGCGCCCTCACCTGGCATGCGCGGGGCGCTGGGTTCGATCGATCCTCAACACCACACAAAAATAAAAAATATAGATATATATAAAAAAAGAAAGTGACATAACCCATGAATTTATTGTTATTCAATAAATTTTGACACTGTGGAAAAACAAAAAGTGTTTGGTCTGTGTTAAAGGCAAATCTTGCTCATGACAGGGGAGGAAGGATGAGGAGTTATTAACCAGTGCAAAGTTGCTATTTGCGTGAGAAGAAAGTTTGGGTGATAGGTGAACTCTGTGAAATGTACACTTTAAAATTGTCAAAACAAGGCTGGGGCTCGATGGTAAAGTGCTCGCCTCACATATGTGAGGCACTGGGTTTGATCCTCAGCACCACACAAAAATAAATAAACATACTGTGTGTTCATCTAAAACTAAAAAAAAAAAATCTTTAAAAAATTAAACAATTGTTAAAATGAAAAATTTTATGTTATGTATATTTTATCACAATAAAAACTCATTTAAAAACTTTAGACCATATGAAACTAGACTTAAAGTGCAAGAGGTTAACGGATTACTAGGCAATAAAGGACAGGTGTTGTATTTCTGATCTGGGCTTGACCCTGGCTCCACCTTGCTACATTTCATTGTCCTCATCTGCAGAATGGAGGTAATACCAGATCCATCCTCTAGGTGCAGATGAAGCAGGTAACACAATCTACTTGATAAGCACCATGCTTAACCCAGTCAGTCTTCAGATCCTGCTAATTACTATGAGTAGAAATTTACATGAAAACATTATTTGTAGATTTATTCTCTAGTTATTATTTTTTCCTTTTTTTTAGCCTCTGGAAAAATAGAATCACTAATTCAACAGAAGGTCATTTTTAAGAGATCCTTGAAGGCAATTTTGAACATCTAAGTAGGTGAACAAGAATTTATCTTAACATTCTATGCCATGCGAAGAAAGTTCATCAACAAATCTTCTGGGTAATACTGTTGGGTAATAAAGTACTAAATTCATTTCTTGTTAATGATAATTGAAATGAAGCTTCTTTAAAATTAAAAGCAATTTCCTGATAACTACTTTCAGCATCTACAGTTTCCTCTCTTATTGAGAATAAAAACCTAAAAGCTACCCGCTGGACCAGTGGTGCCAAGAAAACTAACTGTAACATGTTTCTGACTGTCACAGCCTAGCCAAATCTACCTGGTTCTACATACATTCATTTCCTGCTTTTTGTCCATGGTACCCCTTCTTTCATAAAGGTTGTTTACTGAGCCCCTGAAGTTGGATACTTGAGATTAAAAAAAAAAATGTTTTTTTCTTCTACCTCCCTAAAAGCTGGCTTTGCATAAATTTATTTTCTTAAAGTTTCAGTGGAACCAGTGCCAGAACCTTGGTTTCCCAGTAACAAACTTCTTACTTCTCTTCCTCATCTGAGTTTTCCACAGAGGGAGAGGATTCAGGCAGAAAGTTTGGATTTTGAGGTGGACAGTGTTGGCCACATCCAACTTGATACCGCAGCTTTGGATGCCAAGTATAGAGCTTGCATGGCTGGAAAACCACCCATCAACGTTTCCACCTGTTTTACTTCATAGTGTAGATTTGACAAAACCCTTGGAAAACTTCAAGGAATCCTAGTCATCAGTTAGTTGCTGAAGAGTAAAGTTCTCCCTTCCACCTTTATTATTATTATTATTATTATTATTAGTAGTAGTAGTAGTAGTAGTAGTAGTAGTAGTAGTAGTAGTAGTAGATGGACACAATCTTTATTTATTTATTTTTATGTGGGGCTGAGAATCGAACCCAGTGCCCCATACATGTAAGGCAGGCACTCTACCACTGAGCTACACAGCACCTATCTTTTTTTTTTT